GCGGTACGTCGCCGGGCGGAGCGCGACGAGCTGGGGCTGGCTATCAAAGCCTTCCCACAGCAGTCCAAGAAGCAGCTTGGTTCGAAGATGTGAACCGACAAGGGCGCATTCTTCGGCAACTATGCGGAAGGCCTGAAGGACGCGAGCGATGGCAAGGACTCACCACTGGAATGGGGGGGGTAAACATCCACTGCGATTTACTGGGCGACCCCGCCGAATGGCGACGGAGCGCCGCTCCGCTGTCGACGCCGACGGCGAGCCCATCGCCTGTGAAGAAGCCCTGGCAGAGGCTGAGACCCCTTTGTCATTGCCGACCGCGCCGAGATTCGCCACCCAGACGACGTCGCCAAGACCCGCAACGAGCGCGCAAAGAAAGTTGTGGGGCACCGCATCACCGTTGACACCCCCATTGCCAACATTGTCACCAAGGGCGAATTGGCCGCCGGCTTCCACGACGCCAGAGCCGACAGGCAAGGAGGACTAGGCGGCATTACAGACGACATGCGCCGAGGCGCCAGTGCGGAAATGGTGCGACTGAACCACCCGCTTATAGTTGAATCAAGCACGGCGACTGTCGAACCCCCATCCCGCAAGGGCAGATGGCGGACATCATTCACCAAGAACGCGACAACCGACAAGCAGCCCGGACACAGACGGGTGTTCTTATTGAACAGCGTGGTAGCCAAGCTGCAACACAGGTACCCTCGGACGAAGCTTAAGCAGGCGACCAAAACGCTACTGCGCGATATTCATTGCGGGGCGCGACCCAACACGAGCGCGGATTTTGACGCGTGTCGCCCTGACCTATATCATCATCGTGGAGAACCGAGGTGCCAGTAGCGTGCTACTCTACCCCGACCTCAGGGGTGCCCTATGCACAGTGGTACTTGAGTTCTTTACAAACTACCACCAGCGACGGCGATCTTCGGGGGCTACCAGACAAACCGCGGAGCTGGTCGACTCGCAGACGGCCCCGGGCACTGCAAGTACCGACGCAGCCATGATGGGCCTAGAGATCAAGAGGGGGACCGACAAGGCAATTGTGAGCCCCACTACGCAACGCACATATTCAAACGCAAAAACATCCCGATTGACAAGAAGGTTCTCTGCGCTAAAACAAGGCGACGGCGGCAGAGCGCACGAAGGGGCGCAGGCAAGCGACTGGCCGCCACGCATTTAGGGACGAGGCAGACAGGGCATCCGACTCGCACGTGCTAAGCGAGGCCAAAAGGCTACCGCGCGACGTTGCCAGACGTGCGAGGGGACCCCGATGCCTACCGCGTTCACTTCGGCACGGACTCGCGGGGCGAGGGCCGCCAACGCGACGCCAGCTGGACAGATGCCATCGTCCAAGACAGAATGGCCCTACGTGAGCCTCGACCAGGACGAGCGACCGACAGCGCCGACCGGCCTTGGAGAAGCGGTTCGCGCTGCACGTAATGAACCAGATAAATTCGATGCGACGGTCAGAACTGTGGTGGGAGCTCAACAGGATACTGCCAGCAGCACTACCCGAAGCAATGCGCTCACGATGGGACAGCATGTGCTTTGGCGGTCAGTGGGAGACTAAGGACACCTACACCGCGCCCTACACTCCCCTGGACCCATACTAACGTCGACTGTCAGAGAATCACCGACTGCAGGACGCACCGCCGTCAACTGCCTCGACAAACCACAACGATTCCGGAATTGGAGCCACAGTGGTTTGCATGGCCTACACCATTCAGGGCATGTCCCCCCGCAGGCGACACCCAAACAGCCACCTGAGCAAAGTCTGCCAGGGGTTCCCGCACACCTGACCTGAGGGATCACTACCGATTTACCAGGACAAGGCACCAACGGGAAGCGATACGGCATGGGATGGCAGGGGTCACGAATTCATGCGAAGAAATGGGACAAGCACATCCACTTCGACCTCCGCAACTCACGACTTCCATCGCGGCCAGTCATGGGGTGGCGGATTGGGACTAACAGCCACTTGCGCGGCCCACATTATTCGGGGCATGCCCCCGGGCAGGCGTTACCTCAGTGCTACGTCTACCAGAGGTTCCGGTGCGTCGACCTGAGAGATGGCTGTCCCCCCCAGCTGATCATGGCACCGAATGTAAGCGACTTGATAAAACAAATTATCACATCGCAACGATCCCGCCGATCCCAGCAGATTCCATCGACCCAAGTACTGCGGACATTGGGCTCGAGGATTCAGCAACGACCCTGCGCCTGACCGGCGCTTGCGCCACCCAGTTCGACGAAGCCGTGAGCCGGCCCAACCGGAAGCCGCCGGTAGACCTGCATTGGGGCTGAAGGCTTACTGGCGGCATGGACCCATGTGATGTTGCAATCCATTACAGCATCGTCAACGATATCCCCAGGATCACGCTCTCCGAGCACGCAGAAATCAGGATCACCGAATGAGCCAATAACCATGCGCCCAGTATGCAGAGCGAGCATTTCAACTGGAACAACACAGACGGGCAGACATTGAACCAAGCGCGGCTCGCGAGTTCCAACAGCATGACCAAGCGGGAGTCCTATGTGGACTGCGCATGCGAAAAGGAGTTGGGCCATTCGACTACATCCCTCCAACCGGCAGACGACAGGACCCTCGCTTCGCCCGACCAGCTGCACGAACGCCCAACAAATCCCAAGAGGGCATCGCGTCAGCCGCCCTCGGCAGGAAGCACACCTACGCAGCATTGAAAATCTGACCAGTCTTCATGCCCACCACGCCAGGATGGGTGGATATAGATGCTCTACGACCACCACTACGCGCCTGCGAAAACCTGGCATCGACCAACCGCAGATGGAAGAGGGGCGCCGCCGAGGGAGCCACCGACGCGCTCCACAGCTCCTTCAGCGGGAGCAGCACGATACCGACATCGAGGACATGAGCGGCCACCACTCAGCACGGCCCAACCGCGCACCTGACCACCGCACCGCCGCGCGGACCAGAGCGCATCAGGACGGATCGACGCGCGATGCGGAGCGAAGGGCGCCCATCGCTGCCCTGCCATGGCCGCGGGCCAAGAAGCTTTCTGACAATCACCTCATGCCTCGTCTCGGCGCAGACAGGGCCCAAAGGCGCCGAAATGGGCAACCCCGAGAAGACTCGCAAGATCTCCGCCGTCCAGACATGCGAGCGCGCAGACTTACGAGTATCACAAGAAGCAGAAGGAAAGGCGATCCACTCGAAATCCGAATACCGTCCCCTTCTTTCTACGCGACATTGACGAGAACAGCGACTTGCAGGAGCCGAGCGAAGCAGTACCGCTCCTCCTCTACCCTACGGACACCTTGACAAGAGGCAAGAGCGATGCGCCCACAGCGACAGCCGCATCTTCGAGCAGACGAACTTCCACCTCACACCACAGACGCGGGCAGGCCTCCACGCAGCCGAAGGAGACCTCAACGGGGACCTCGTACCCCTGGACGACATGGACGACGAGGATCTCCGCAACCTGCTGAATTACAACACGGAGTACAGGGCCCCCATCAACCATCATAACGAGATCGAAGTACGATACGAATTCTTGCTGGGACCGCCGTCCAACGGCAACCTTCAGCGGCAACAGATAGTCAAAACGAAAGAGCATCCACCAGCAGACGCCACATTCGAAGAAGACCTCGAGGTCCAGTACACCACGCTCAACATGCTGCCACCGTTCGAGGACATCGCAGTGACGCGACCACCCCACCCAGAGCCGGCCAGCCGGAAGGAGCCGAGCAATTTCCTCATCTTCGGTTGCGCGAAGACCGCGGCGGAGAACATCCACAATTTCACGTCCCACATCAGAAACGACGTCCGCGAGGAAGGCAGGGATATGCTCACCAAGATGCGTAACCACTTCTACACCAGTCTAAAGTGCGACTGCGAGGCGCTGGTGGAACTATCAAGGTAGACCGTGAATGACATCATCCCCCTCTTGTGCGAACAGAACGATCACGGCTAGCACCGAACGCGACCGCCATCCCCAAAACCGCAAACCGAGTCTTGACCGCCAAGTTCACCTCCTACCCCGGCTCCTTAAGAGACCCACCGCTGCCAAACTGCACGCCACCGTCAGTGTCGCCGCCGAACTACCGCGCGTGGACCGAGCACGCGCTGGCACAGGCACTAAGGCAAGGTGGCCTCCCAGCCGGCATGCCGCTTGACCATCGGCATCAATTGCCAGCGTCTCGGCGGCCGAGACTCGGCCATGGGTCGTCTATCCAACCGAGAACCCAATGCATTGGAACGCCCAAGTGAAAAACGCAACATCGAGACCCGCGAGTTGGAATGGGATGGCCCTGGCAACGTCCTGTTATGACCCGGATGGAAGAGAGCAGTTTGTTCCACCGACGAGGAGTACTTCTACGATGCGAACAACAACGTAATATGGAATCCACGAGTGGCGGCACGAAGTCAGCGAGAGCCACCTCCACCACCTAGGGCAAGGTCGCCATCACCACAGGCAATATTCATTTACATGGACAGATCCGCCCTCGATAATGTCATCCTCTGGTACAACAGCGACCACGAGTACAATGGCGCCGTGGGCGCTATCGAGACAAATTTACAGCACCTGGACAACGACCAGATGCTCGCCTACGTCAAAGACGACCCTGCACGCGCTCGCCTCATACACCATTTGGTCCACCACCAATCAGACGCCGCCCTCAGCTTCGAGAGATTAAGGAAGGTCATCACGAATATCCAGACGGCGCAACCACGTGCAGCAGCAGCTTTCTAGCCTCGCGGTCTGCTGGTCACGACTTCGGCGGGTGGCCCCGTGAACTTCGGCAGCCCCCGACGACCGCAGCGATGCATTGCAGCACTCTCACGACGTCGACCCAGTCACGGAGGCAACCGCAGCGTCTTCATCGACGACGCAATGCGCCACACCACACGACGGCATCGACCACAGCGCCTAGGCTTAACTGACGCATGGGCCGTGCTACACAGCGCCACCGGGAATGACTTTACCCGCCAAGGCATCGCCCCCAGATGATGACACCGCGCCCCCGCCAGCGACAGCAAAGGCAGTGGTGCGCGGGATGACAGACGACAGGAATTTTGGGCTGGTCGGAGCTAGGCCCGAGCCCAATACCCCACCATGCCAGGAGGCACCATCCAAGCCTCCTCCACAGAGGCCACCACATGTGCGCGACGGGCCCAAGGCGCAGAGCATCAGAAGCATACCAGTCATGCAGGTGCCCTACAAACCACCGGCTGCCAAGGCCATCGTCAAGGCAACGACCAGACCGCACGTGGACACTGCATGCGGATAGGCCATCACGCCCATCGAAGAGCCACATGTCGGCATGAGGTTAGGACCATCAGGGGCAGACTTCAACGTGGTGCTGTCGCGCGCCTGACCCACAACATCAGCAGCATCCATTAAAAAAGGACCTCCCACCATTTCAATATCCACGTCCACTGGGTGATCTCAGAAGCCATGTCTGACACCAGCGGCACGGAGGCTACGTGCGACTGGGATACATACCCCAAACGCATCTTGAGATGGGAATGCGGCGCCCTGATGACATACGTACGTCGCGCCTCCCTCAATCATTTCATGCGCTACGGTGCACTTCCAACATCGCGACTATCCACATTGGCCCCACGGCAGATCGTCCTGGCCTGTTTCACCAACCACCAGCTGGCCACGACGGTTACCTTCCTGATCGCTGACGACCGACGCGCCGCCAGAGATCGAGCCACGCTAGAGCAGTGGATAGAGCTCCCTCATGCACCTCCTCGATGGGGGCCTTAACCACCAGCTGCGAGCTGGAGCCTCGGAGGTTGCAGTGCGAAGAGCCTCCTTTCCATTGTTCTTGAGAGGGCCTCGCCCAATCTTCACTCCCTCCCGGCCCACCTCCTCGCAGCCCCCGCCCCCGCCGCCATCGCCCCGCGAACTTTCGCCTGCCCATTCGCGTGTCGGCGGGGCGGGTGGGGGATCCATGGGGAGGGGGGGTGGGGGGGGGGCAAACTCGTTGTCGGCTGTCTTGGCGTTGGCCAAGGCGGCCGCGGGCCGCGCGCCACCTCGACGCTAGACTTCTGGATGGAGCTCTCACATGCGCTTCCTTGGCGGGCGCCTTCACCGCCAGCTGAGAGCTGGGGCCTTGGAGGGTGCAGTACGAAGAGTTTTTGTTCCATTGGTCTTGAGGCGGCCTCATCCAACGTTCACTCCCTCCTGGCCCACCTTCCTGCAGCCCCTGCTCCCCCCGCCTTTGCCCCGCTAGCCTTCACCTGCCCACTCTTGCGGCGGAGGGATGGGCGGGCGCGGGCGGGGAGGGGGGGCGGGGGCGAACTCACCGACTGCTGCCATGGTGTTCGCCAAGACGGCCGCGGACCGCGCGCCACTTTTCGTGCCCGCGCGCGTCGCAGCCAACGTCGCAACTTTTCATCGCCGCCTGCTATGGTTCCTGGCACGGATGTTTTGACAAGCCAATGGCTGCGGACAACCCGCTTCACAATCTCTCGCATGTTGCTGGGATGTCTGCACGCCTCCTCGGCGCGGCACCCCGAGGGTGCAAGCTGTCATCAGCAACTTGCTTCCCTGAAAAGCGGGAGGGCTCCAGGGCATCGTCGGGTGATCAGTCCGATCCGCTCTGGAGCCGAAAACGTCAAAGCATGCCTCTCAACACGCGTTATACCGGTGTGTGTGTGTGTGTCTTGCCGCCTGCAGCTATGTCACTTAGCGGGTTGTGGCCAACAGCCTCGCGCCAACTCATCTCACTCGTCACTGTATGCGGGAGTCTGCCTATCCCCACGGCTGCTCTGGCAGGGGCACGAAACGGGGCTGGGCACGATCCCTGGCGCACGTGCAGGGGGCCTGGCTCCCTTCCTCCTCGCTGCGAGTGGGGGTTGGCTCAGCCTGCACGCCTGAGTCTGACAGGTGGGCAGGAGCACGGCGCTCCTCACGGCGCTCCTTGACCACGTGCTTCTCGTAGAGCACGCCCATCGCGAAGCCCACGGCGATCAGGATGATCGTCACAAACACTTTGACCATCGTACCGTAGACCTCCGTCTGGCTCGCACCCGCCGCGCAGGTGCCCTCCGTGACCGTCACCTGGACACCCTTGCTGGAGCCCACGTCCGATCCGTTGGCGGTCCGAGCCGTTGCGCGCAGCAACAGCGCCGCCAGGACCTGGTTGGCCTCGTCCGTCCCGAAGCCCGCCACGAACCTGCTCACGATCCCGAGGTTCGTCATGCAGGCCTGCAGCGCCTCCTGGTCGAGCGCCTTCGTGCCTGCATCACTCGGATTCTTTTTGCCGTCGACTCGCTCGATCTCGAACTGCTTCTCTCTCAGCGCCTGCTGGTGCCAGAGATAGCGCGTCTGTAGGTGTCGTACGCGCCCGCAGCCCACTCGGTGGATCATGCCGCGAGCCGCGTCCGAGTCCGTGCGGATGATCAGCTTCACGTCCGCTGGAAGTCCAGCTCCCAGCTCAGCAATCTCGACCATCACCTGCCTGACTGCGATCCCCCGCGCCGCCGCCGAGCCGATCGCGTAGAACTCCGACTCCGCGCTGCTGAGCGCGACGGCGCCCTGGGTGATGCTCCAGCTCTCGATGAGATGGCCAGCGCTGGGGTCTCCGACCTGGATCGTGCCTGCCGACGTGCTCTTGCACGCCTGGACGTCGCCGCTCCAGTCGCCGTCGGAGTGGGCCACAATGTCGTTCCAGGACACGCCTGGTAGAGGAACTCGATGCCGACGTCATGCGCCCCTGCCAGGTAGCGCGCCAGCCGCCTCAGTCTCATCATGCTCAGACGCGTCGGGTGTGCCATGTCTGATGCCAGCTGCTTCACTGCGAACTGGATGTCGAAGCGGTCTGGCCCGATGTACATGCAGATGCCCGTACCCCTTCAGTAGATCGCCTTCTCGGCACGCCCCAGCTCCTCGAGTGCATCTCGTGCGTTCCTGCCAGTCGCTCGGCTGGCAGGCGTCGGGGATGGCTTCACTCCCTTCAGGTCCAGCAGCGTGCTCAGGTTCTCGAAGTGCTTCGGGTCAGGCAGCAGCATGAACCTGTTCGGGCTCCACAGCAGAAGCCGCCATAGAACCAGGCCTATGTCCTCAGCGGTTTGTCCAACCCTCGGGAGGATCTTGGCATTGAAGTTCCCCGTGATCATGGCGTCCGCCTTGTCCAGTTGCTGCGGCTCGCCCTCGGTGTAGAAGTCGTCACCGTGGAACCCCGACAGGCAGTCCCACTCGCTGTGATACGCCAGGCAGGGGGCAGTCGACATGATGTTCCAGCCATGCTCTCGGTACGTGTCCCGCACCAGCTCCTGGAAGTCAGCGCTTGACTCACGCATCCCGTACAGTGCCTTGGTCACGAGCCAGAGCCAGTCAGGGCAGTTCAGTTCCTTCGGCGGCTCGGCCCAGACTGCCTCCTTCAGCTGCGCGTGGAGGAATGCCACCGAGATATCATGCGACGCGAGCTGCCTTACCTGTCCGCGTGATGCCAGCCTCGAGATCACCAGCTTCAGCGCCCACGTCGGCGGTGTCCCTGCGTAGTGCCCTGGCGCGAAGACGCCTCCTGCGAAGTCTCGCGCGACTATCCGTGATCGCACGCAGTCTGGTCCCTTCCGCGTGTGGAAGAGCTTGGTGGAGATCACCCTCTCGCCTGCTGGCTTCTCGCTGCGCCTCTTCCAGACCACCACCTCGGCCTCGAACTCCTCCCTCTCGTCGAGCTCGCGCTTCACGCCCTCCAGCACCAGCTCCTTCGGGAGGACCTCGCCCGTGTACTGGTCGTGGACCCTGCCCGCAGACAACCCCTCGTCGAAGGTCGGGGCAGGGGCCTCCTCCTCACAGAGCGCGCCGAGGGTCATGGCCTCGGCCTCTGGGTCAGTGTCCATGGGCGCAGCGGGGGCCACGTCGATGACTGGCCTCTTCCTTGCTGGCTCTCCGTCGTGGACTGTGTCACCTTCTCGCTTCGGACCGCTGCCCGTCGGCAGCTCCAGCCCTGTGGGTGGGCCGATGCCCTGTGTCTGTCCTGGCTGGCTCTGGGGTCCTGCGTCTCCTCCTGGTGGTCCTGGGTTCGGGCCTTCGGCGCCGCCTGCGCCGCCTGCGCCGATCGCCCGCTGCGTCTGGATCAGCTGCTCAGCCTGCTTCTTGAAGATCTCCTCGAAGCGATCCCTGCACGCGATCGTGTGCACGCTGGACAGCCCCAGGCAGGCCGCGCAGTCAGGGCTCTCGCCGTGCTCCTGGATCAGGGCGCAAGTGATGTACCTCCGCCTCGTGCTCACCACTGGGGTCTCCGTCGTCGGGGCCCTGGGGTTCCAGGGCACGCCGATAGACGTCCTGAACTCCTCCTGGATCCAACGCTCGCTCCCGTCACGCCTCTTGAACGACCTGGTGAACTCGATCCCTCGTGCTGTGCCCACGACGACCTCATCACTCTCATCCCTCCGCCCGAGGAACACTCCTGAGGCCCAGCGTGGGTCGAGCTTCGACTGGTCCTTGCGAAGCAGCTTGAAGTCCACCGTCTCGCCCACACACGCGAGAGGCGATGTGAACTCCTTGCCTCGCATCGTCGCCCTGGCATCCGACCATCACTCTTCAGGACGAATCTGGTGATGACGTACGCCGAGTGCCTGACCAACCACGGGAGGATCACCGACTGGCTCGTCACCTTGGTCTTGTACTTGTCCTCTATGACGGCCACGTAGGTGCGAGTAAGCGACTCCACCCTATGCGCCACCACCTCGATACCGCCATCCGCCTTGCTGTCGTGCTTCGTGAACTTCTCAACCGTAGTGCGATGGCGCTCGACTCGGCGCCGGCGTAGCTCTCCGAGCAACGCCTGGATGGTTGGCTCGTGGTCTGCCCTCAGCACGGCCTCTCCAGCACCCCGCGCCTCGAGGTAGAAGAGCACGAACTCGACTGCAACGTCGTCGACCCCCTTCTTTGCCACCTGCGTCGCTCCCACGGCGCCAGGGGGCCTCAGCACGAAGACCAACACCGTAGCCTTCTGCAGCTCCCCCTTGCGCGCCAGGAAGCAGTAGTCCAACGCAAGCTTCGCGACCGTCGACTCCTTGGACTGGCTCTTGTGGGGGTCCTCGGTCGCCTGACCCGTCAAGCAGTACCTGCACCAGGCGTGGTGCGGGCAGTGGGTCAGCTCGTGCTTGGCCTTCTCCTCCGCGCTCGGCCAGGGCGCAAGCGCCTTGCTGAGCGCGGGCCTGGCGTCCTCACTGTCCTCGAAGTCGTCGCTAAATCGCACGCGCTTCTTTGGCTCCTCATCCTTCTCCGTCGCCGCACACAGTTCGCCGCTCCTCGAGCACAGCCGAGCTGGGATGACGAAGATGCCGTTCTTCCGCCTCAGCTCGATGGACCTGTTCTTGCCGATGTTGTCTCTCACGACCATCGCCAGCTCCTTCGCGTGCTTGGGCTTCACGATGTAGCTGCTTCCGTCATACAACCACACTCCGTAGCCCGCGTCCACTGCTGAGCTCACTGCCATGATCGGCTTCCGAACTCCTTTCGCCTCGAAGTTCACCGTCAGCTGCTCGCCCGAGCTCTGGTCCACCATGCTCACCTCCTTCTTGCCGTAGTGCTTGACCTCGCTGCCATCTGCCTGGTAGAGCGCCGTGCCACGGCACTCCTCGACTGCCACCTCTGGGGCCCACGCAGGCGGGCAGACGCTCTTCGCCGCGCACGTGTCGAAGAGGAGGTCGAAGTCGTCGCTCTCGAGCGCGCAGCAGTCGCCCGTCACGATCTGCTCGCCGGTCAGGGCGAAGACGAAGTCGTCTGCCTCGTCGTAGTAGTCATCATCCGACAACGCCGTCAGCGCCGCCATGTCTCCCTTCTCGGCGTAGGCACGCTTCCCAGTGACCTTGTCGACTGGCTTGCCTGCGTAGCGTCCTGCTTTGTCTGGCTTGATATCCTTGCTCGCACGGTCCGTCGCCAAGACTCTGCACTCCTGCTTCGAGTGGTTCGGCTTGGCGCAGGAGAAGCAGACCCTCTTGTTCTTACCCTTGCCGTCGTGGTCCTTGCCGTTGCCCGTCTTGCCCTTGCCCTTGCCCTTGCCGCCCCTTGTCACGGGGTGCAGGTCTCTTGTCAAGGGGCTCAGGTCCATGGGCACGGGCTCCTGCTCCTGGTTGGCCGTCGCACGCAGGTACGAGATCGCCTCATTCCTGGCCACTTCGTACGTCTGCAGGCGTCCCGCCTGCAGGTTGAGATGGGTCCTCATGTTGCCTTCCAGGAGCTTCTTGCTGTTGAGCGTCGCCAGCTTGATCGTGTCGGCCAGCGTGTCGCCCGACTGCTCTTCATACTGCTTCAGCTTGCGCTCCCACGCGTACATGTTCTCGACTGCGTCTGGCCCGCGTACAGAGTCGAGCAGGTGCTGCAGCATGCCCTGGAAGCGGCTCGGCAGCTTCGGCTCGAACTCGATGCACAAGTGCCTCCAAGCCTCGATGCCCTAGCCTTCGGGCACACGCTGCACCGCCGACAGCGCTCGCCCGCGGCAGGTGAGCGCCAGCACATAGAAGATCTGCGCTGAGAGCCTCCTCGCATGAGGCTACACGGTGAGGTTGCTGATCGGCTGGTCCTTGTCCGTCCTTCTGGCCGCGAAGTCCAGAGCCTCTCGGCACGATGAGTCGAAGGATCTTGCATACGCTCTGAACGTGAATGACCACTGCTGCCAAGCTAATCCACCCTCTAGCTTGCCCTCGCCCATCACGTCTCCTGAGAACGGCAGCGGCTTGCCGAGGGCTCTCGTGCCCACCAGGGCGTTGCCGTTCTGGCCCGTAGTCGTCGCCGCCGCCGGTGGTCCTGGAGGGTCTGGTGGGACCGCCGTCGCCTGGGCCGAGAGTCTATCGTTCACCGTCTTGGCTTCGGCCAGCTGGCCCTGCAGCGTCGCTTCATGGCGCTGCTTCTCCAGGATCTACTGCTCTGCGGCGGCCAGCCTGGCCTCCACGGCCCTGAGGGCCTCCTCCATGGCTAGGGAACCACGCTCCGCGCTACCATGTTCTGGTTCCTGGCACGGACGTTTTGACAAGCCAATGGCTGCGGACAACCCTCTTCACGATCTCTCGCATGTTGCTGGGATGTCTGTACCGCCGTGAAATTGCCCCACTAGCTTTCACACACTAACTCGCGCGGCGGAGGGACGGGCGGGGGATGCATGGGGGAGGGGCCGGGGGGGGCGGGCAATGTGCCCGCGGCCGCGCTGGCGTTGGCCAGGGTGGCCGCGGAGCGCGCGCCATCCGCGCCAGCGCACCGACCCACGCTGTGCCACCTGCCACCTTCGTCTCGCTCTCCTCCCCGCCCCACTTCTAGCGCCCCCTCCGCGGCCAACGCCACATTTTCCCCCGTGGCCGCCGCCACGGAAGGCGCAAACCTCCCCCGCGCCCAGTGGGAACCCCAGAGGTGGCCACCACACCTTCGCTCGGGAACCCGATGCGTGCTGGCGGGCGAGGGTCACCGTTGTGGGACTGGTGGGCGCCCACTGGGAATTCCCACCGGCAGGCGGAGAGGCTCTTGCGCCTTCCACCTTGGCGAGCGTGGCCATCCGCCACACTGCCTCGCCACGCGGCCGCCGTCGAGGAAGGCGTAAACTTCCCCCGCGCCCGGTGGAAACCCCGCGGCGGCCGCCAGTCCCTGCGTCGGGAACCCTACGCCTGCATCGGCGGGTGAGGGTTCCCTTGGCGGGACGGCAGGCCGCCGTTCGGGGCTTCCTACGGGTAGGGGGAGGGGCCCTCGTGCCTTCCACTCTGGTGGGTGTGGCCTGATCGCGCTCCCTTGCCGCGCCGCCACCATCCGCCGCCATTCTGCTTGCCGCCACGCCGCCACTCTGCAAGCCTCACACGCCGTGCCCGCCAGGTATCCCTCCTCCCTACTCGCCCTCTTCGAAGTTCTGATAGGCTATATTTGGTTTACCCTCTGTCTCCCCTCTCGCTGGTGTCGCTACTTCTTTTCACATTTTAGCATCTCCCCGCAGCTGGCGACTCGTGGAGCGTGCTCTAGGAGTTGCCAGGTTGGCTCTTAGTTTGATCGGACCCCCAGGGCCGACCAGCTCTGAGGGGCGGAAAGGCAACGCTCCACGAACCTTTTTGCTGTCATTGCTCCAATGTTTCAGGAGGAGGAGGGGGAGGAAGGAAGGAACAGGGGGACGGGGGGCGGTGTGGGGCGGTCGTAGCGTCGTGGTGGTGGCAATCGTTGTGGTGGTGGCCGTGGCCGTCGTGATGGTGACTGCGTCCCGTCGTAAGAGTCGTGGTTGTCGTCGTACACGTGTTGGCCATGATGGTGGTCATGGTTGTCGTGGTAATGGAAATGTCATCGAGGCGGTGGTCGTGAATGCGGTCGTGTCTCGTCTTAGGGTGGCCGCGGTGGTCACAGTAATCGTGAGAGGTGGTCGTGGTGGTCGCGCTGGTGGTGGCCGCGGTGGTTGTCGCGATCGTGGCAGGTGCTGTTGGTTTGGCGCCCGAGCGCGGTCAGCAGCATCTTAGCATTGCCCCTTTGGAGGGTTCTGCTGATTTGCCGCCAAAGGCCGCCCACCAGCTCGGAGCGTTCGCCGTCATCCAAACCTGCTTCGTAGCCGCGGATAAAGCTGGTTGCTTCGTCGGTGGGCCGGCCCTCCGTCTCGAACACGAGGGGGACCAGCTCGCCCCCTCGCGGGGGGGGGGTAGCGCTTTCGTTTCTTATGCACCGCCTCCTACCTCCTCTCCCCTCATCCTTATCCCTCCCTCCTCCTTCTCATTCCCTCCTCCTCCTCCTCCTCCTCCTCCTCCTCCTCCTCCTCCCCCCCTCCTCCTCCTCCTCCTCCTCCTCCTTCTCCTCCTCCTCCTCCTCCTCCTCCTCCTCCTCCTCCTCCTCCTCCTCCTCCTCCTCCTCCTCCTCCCCCTCCTCCCTCCTCCCTCCTCCCTCCTCCCTCCTCCCTCCTCCTCCCTCTCCTCCTCCTCGCGCTCGGGGCGATAGTCTGGGTCACCCCCAGGGGCGCGAAGACAGCGGCGCTTCCGCGTCGCGGCCTGGGCCAGAGCGGCTGCCCCTCTCCAGGGAGGCGGCGGGCCAGGGCGCGAAGAGCGCCGCGCGTCGCGCATCGCAGGCCGCGCTGCGCGGAGTGGGGCGGCCTGGGCGCTGCGGGCGAGCGGGATGGACAGAGGGAGGCGCGGCCACGGCAGGGAGGAGGCGCGAAGCGGGAAGGAGGGGAGCAGGAGGGGAGGAGGGGAGGACAGGAGGCCAGGAGCTTGCTGTTTTTAGCGTGTCGCGCCGCCTGTGCTGGCCCACCGCGCTTCGGTACGTCCCGAGCCTTTCCCGGCCTCCCGTCCCACGAAGTGGAGCGAAACGCAATCGGCTGGCAAGGCACGGCGTGTCGCAGGGGCCGCCGCAGCGACGCTGAGCTAAAGTTCCTGGCCGTAGGGGAGGACGAATGGTGCGTTGAGGTCGTTCCACATTCAGCTCGGAGTGCCCAAGCGCGCCTAAGTGGTGCACCTATTATCCGAAGTTCGTAACACCTCGTGAAAGCACGGCTTACCGGCGTGCGGGGCCTGGAGGTAGGCCCGACGTCTAGTCGTTCGCAACTCCCCGATGTGCCACGACTGGTCTTTTGCAGGACGTACGCGAGCTTCGACGGTTGCTGCACTGGGGAGGGCACCGTCCACCGTGGGCTCTCTCCCCAGACCCTGCCAGGCCGAGCAGGGCGTGGCGGCAATCGGAGAGATCCTTGTGGAGGCGGCATGCGTAACCGCCAGCATGCGGCCAGGGTGCATGCAGCGGATGTGCCAGGTGCTGACGCAACCAGGGAGCACGCGACAGAAGTGAAGGGGCAGAGGAGGTCGATGGGAGGATGAAGTTTGATGAGGATGTGGCCTTGCGGTCGTCCTGCTTGGCCCCCTGAGTGTTCCTGTCTGTGCACGCACCCTCGCTCGTGCTTCGGTCTCGAGATCGCGTCTCTGCTCTGGACAGCAGCTAAGATCGTTCGCATGGCAGCTGCAAATTAGATTGTTTGCAGCGCTCGGAAATCATGGAGATCGGGTAAGCCAGGATGGCACTCATGGGCTTCACATTTTGCCGAAAGAAAGGGGAGCGGGGAAATGAACACTGCCAGACTCGATTGCGAAGGCTCCGCCACAAGCCAGTTGAATTTCGAGCAGAGCATGCTCCTCCCTCTCACTCGCTTTCTTCCCCTCCTCCCTCCTCTCCTTAACCCCACTCCTCTTGGTCCCTCCTCCCTGTCCACTCCCTCCTCCCTCTTCTTCGTCGATGCCCTCCCCTCCCTGCCCCTCTCCCTCCTCCCTTTTCTCCCTCCATCTCCAGCTCCCCCTCCTCCTTCCCCTCCCTCTCTTACTCCTCATCCCTCTTGCTCGGCCTCTTCACCCTTCTTCATGCTCCTGCCTCCTCCCTCGCCTCCATGCCCTCCGGCGCTCCCTCGCCCTCCTCGTCGGGCCTCCACCTGCCCCCCTTCCTCACCCCACCCCACCAAGCACCATGCACCATTTGCCATCTCTCCACCCGCAGCACCCTCTCTTCCTTAGTCTCCCCAGTTTTTCTCCTCGTCATCTTCCTCTGGCTCATTGTCCTCCTCCTCATCATCATCCTGCTCACCCCATCCCTCCAACTCCTCATCATTCTCTCGCCCTATCTTCCCTTCCTACTCTGCTCCTGGCACGGTGAGAGAAAGTCAGCAGCGAGGATACACGGAGGGAGCGAAAATATGAGCATAAAAAGGCAGGAGCTAGAAAAGTATGGATACGAAGACGGAGGTGAGGGGAAGTAAGGCAAATGAGGGCATATGGACGACATAGGACGAACTCATTGAAGAAGAGAGCACGGAGAAGGGCGGACGGCAGGAGGAAGGCAGGAGGACCAGAAAAAGAGACGAGGCGAAGGAGCAGGATGTCGAGGAGGTGGACGGAAAGGAGCGTGAGGACACCTACCCTATCGATGTCCAGAAGTTTCACCGACTGCAGATGGATTTGGAGTGCACATGAAATCCTTAGCACGTCGACGCAGCTAACTAGGCTCTTGCTTTTCTTGGTTCGGGGGATCCACGCTGTGTTCATCTGCTCTGGTGCTCCGTGTTGTTCTTTCATGACCGGGCGTGCAGGCCGAAGTCCTCTCGGCGGTTGTGGCTGTGGAGGACGAGTCCAGACGCAAGGCATCGAGGGGATAGTGGAGTAAGGGGAGGCGCATTTGGTTAAAAAGGGACATGTGCCGCCTCTCTCGCTATCTTTGGGTGGCAGGGAGGGTAGCACTGAGCGAGTGCATTGTCTGTCAATACTTCCGTGTACTTGCGAAGCCGGTTTTCGGCATATGTGTCTTGGGGGCTCATTCATTCCACCGAGCCTCTTGTCAGCATTGTTGCTACCTTTGTTGCTGCTACTGATGTCGCTGCTGCTGCCGACATGGTTACTGGCTGTCACTTGTGCATACCACCTGTCAGTGGGTGATTAGCGCGTGTGCGCATTTGGGGCTCCATTGTTGCAAGTATATTCGCCCCTCCTCTTTCTCCACCTCCTCCACCTCCTGCTCCTCCTCCTATTCCTCCTCTTTCTTTTCAGTCTCTTGCCATTGCGGCTTCTGCCGCCGCCGCCGCTGCTGCTGCTGCTGCTATAAGTGTCGCTACCGCTGCCAGACATGCGTCCCATCGTCCTCTTCCTCGCCCTCCTCCTCGTTCTCATCCTCTCTCTTCCCTCCTCCTGCTCTTCCCTCATCTTCCTCGCCCTCCTCCTCCTCCTCCTCCTCCTCTTCCCTTCTCCTCCTCTTCCTCCTCCTCCTCCTCCTCGCCCTACTCGTCGTCCTTCTCCTCGTTTTTCCTTCTCATCTTTCCTCCTCCTCCTCCTCCTCATCATCATCCCCCCACCCCCCTCCGCCGCAAAACTTTCTGCACAGCTCCTCGCCGTGGCGCGCCGGAAGTGGGGAGGAGCTCGTGGCCCAGGTCCTCGGGCACGGCAAGGCTGGCGCGGACGAGGAGCCCAAGGAGCGGAGCGCCCCCTTGTCGATCCCGGCCTCGAGGGCGGGACGGGTCTCCTTGCGGCACGCCAGACTCCCTCGTTCTCTCGCGGGTCCTCTTCTTTCCTCCCCTTCCCTCCGCCTCTTCGCCTTCTTGCCTCCTCTTCCCTCCTCCTCCTCCTCCTCCTCCTCCTCCTCCTTGTTCTCCTCGTTCTCCTCCTCCTCCTCCTCCTCCTCCACCTCCTCCTCCTCCTCCTACCCCCTCCTTCGCACCTCGTCTCCCCCTTCCCCAGCAGAGAGGAGGCCACCTTTGAGCCTGCGCGGACGACATAGTTGTTGTGTCACGAGCCTCGTGATGATATAACACCTTCACGCGACACTCTTGCTTGCGCAACCTCTGGCTGGTCTCACGCTGCAGGCCGCCAAATGTGTTACCGTTCCGCTTGCAGGAGAATGTATTCCAGAGGTTGCAGCCAGCTATGCCAAACAAAATACCGAATGTGTGCCGAGCTGGACAGGATTCACAGTAGCGGGTTCAGCCAAATACCTCGGCGTCCATTTAGGACCTAACGTTACGCTAGCGCAGCAGTGGAGAGAAGCGGGACAAAAGTGGTGGTCCCGCACGCGCGCCATCGCACAAACGAGAGCGCCTTGCGCGGCCGCCATCCGGTTGTATGAATGCACGTGCATTTCGGTCCTAGGATATCTGGCCCAGTTTTTTTCTTTGTGTGAGGACATCCAGCGAAAAGAACACTACGCGTTGCCCAAACTTCTCCGTCTCCCTCTTGGCACCTTCGCTTTGCATGATTTCTTGAACTTGAGAAATTGGTGGAAGGCAGCGACACCCACCGCAGTCAAAATATATGCAGTGGCTAACGCCTGGAGGGCCAGCGAGATCACTCAGAGGCTGGGACGGGTGGTACGACTGGTGGTGGGATGGGTTGGATGTTCACGGATACCACATGAGGGTGCACCAGCAGTTGCTGTCTGCGGAATGTTGGCAAAAAACACGCAAGGTATCTTCCAATTCGATCGTCTCTTCGGCACCGCTCGCAATCCTTTCTTGCCCCCTGCTGACATCCTCTTTGCGATTGATGCCGCCAGAGCCGCTGGCCGAGTGAGGGAAGATGGTCGTCCAAGCAGTCGTCGTCGGAAGGAACGCCCTCAGGCCACTGCCATTGCGGTGCTCAGTCAGCGCGTCTATCCAGATTGTTTTCACGTGTGGCTTCGAAACCGACTAAGGAAATGGCATGGAATGGCTGCTTGGCGACACCCTCTCCGACTAGCATGCGCTGGTTTCGCCCCGCTGGTTTCGCCGACGGCTAGTTTCGTCGGCGCTAGTTTCGTCGGCGCTGGTTTCGCCGGCGCTGGTTTCGCCCCGCTGGTTTTTCCACGCTGGTTTCGCCGTCGGCTGGTTTCGCCGGCGCTGGTTTCGCCGGCGCTGGTTTTGCCGACTCCGCCGTCGTCGCCGTCGCCGTCGCTGCGGTCGCTGCGATCGTTGCCGTCGTCGTCGTCGTCGTCATCGTCGTCGTCGGGCGTCGGGTGTCGGACCCTGAACGGCGGGTCGGGTCGGTCGGGCGGGCCCGAGCGGGCGGGACGGATCTGGTCGGGCGGGCGGACCCTGACGGGCGGGTCGGGTCGGGCGGGCGGGACGTTACAGTGTGGTGGGGCACGCTCAACCGAACACGCGCGAACCCTAACGGGCGGGTCGGGTCGGGCGGGCGGACCTTAGCGAGCGAGTCGGCTCGGGTCGGGCGGGTAGACACTGACGGGCGGGTCGGGTCGGGCGGGCGGGCATTTCAGTGTGGGGCACGCTCGACCGAGCTTGGACGAACCCTAAAGGGCGGGTCGGGTCGGGCGGGCGGGCAAACCTTGACGGTCGGGTCGGGTCGGGCGGGACATACAAGTGTGGGGCACGCTCGACCGAGCTTGGGCGAACCCTACGGGCGGATCGGGTCGGGCGGACGGACCCTAGCAGGCGGGTCGGGTCGCGGGTCGGGTCGGGTCGGGCGGGCGGACCCTACGGCCGGGTCGAGTCGGACGGGTGGGGGCGGGTCGGGTCGGGCGGGCGGACCCTGACGGGCGGGTCGGGTCGGACGGGCGGGACATGAAATTGTGGGGCACGATCGACCGAACACGCGCGAACCCTAACGGGCGGGTCGGGTCGGGCGGGAGGACCCTAGCGGGCGGGCAACGGGCGGGTCCGTGCGGGCGGGTCATTCAAGTGTGTGGCACGCTCGACCGAGCATGCGCGAACCCTAACGGGCGGGTCGGGTGCGGCGGGCGGCGGGCAGTTTCGCCGACGGCAGCTGGTATCGCCGACGGCAGGTGGTTTCGCCGACTGCAGCTGCTTCTTTCGCCGACGGAAGCTGGTTTCGCCGACGGCAGCTGGTTTCGCGACGGCAGCTGGTTTCGCCGGGCGGCGAAACCAGCCAGGCGAAACTTGCCGTCGGCGGAACCAGCGGTTGCCCCCGGACCTTGCCCCCTTCTGCCACCATTATCTGTCCTGTCCGCGGCTGCTGCCCCAGATCGCTGCCCCTCGCTTGTTTATTCCCACGGACCCCCCGTTCCTGTGGCTTGGACTGGGGCTTCCGGAAGAATATCAAGAGTACAGACTTGATTGTGAATGTATGTAGTTCATGAGCTCATGAGTTAGCCGCACTGGCCTATACAAATTTCCACACACTGCGAGTAGCCCTGATAGGGGCGCCTCAGCATTTTGATTAATGCACCTTTCAACTTTCAATCAGGCGCGCAGAGCTCACACATCATTAAGGAGACATCGGCCGCCGATAGACGTGCGTTCCTCCTCTTCCTCCTCCTTCTGCTCCTCCTGCTCCTCTTTTTCTTCCTCCTCATCCTCCTCCTCCTCTTCCGCCTCCCCTCTCCTCAACTTCTCCCTCCCTCCCTCCCTTTCTCCCTCTCTCCCTCCTCCTCCCTTCCTTATCCTCCTCCTCCTCCTCCTCCTCCCACCCCCTCCTCCCCTTCCTCTCCCTCCTCCTCCTCACCCCCCTCGTGTTTTTTTTCGCGCTGGCGGTTGGGGTTTTGCACCACAATCGTAGTATGGACAAGAGTGGCTGCCCTTCTCCAGGGGGGGCGGCTTGGGGGGCGGGAGGGCGCGAAGGCAATCACGCATCCCGAGAAGCGAAGTGCGAAGTTGAGTGGCTTAGATGATAACGGAGCCTCCTGCCGAGCTGGCACCTCCTGGCGACCCCAGGGGAGGGTCCAGAACCCCCCCCCCTCCTGCCACACAGCGGCCGACGCTGCTCCCGCTGCCGCTGCCGCCGCCCTCGCTGCGCCTCCTCCTGCTCGCCCCCCTCCCCATCCTGTCTCTGGTCTTGCTCCGCGGCATGAACCGCCACCGCGCTGCTGTTCTTGTCGTTCCCCAAGAAGGCTTGGCCTGCGGCTTCTCTTCCAGTCAACCCGCACAGTAAGGATGAGCGACTTTCCGAGGCTGCCTTTCCATCCTTGCCCCCTCGGCCCGTCCTTGGTAACTCTCGCTGGTCAACCTCGTTCGAAAAATGTCACCATGGCCCTCCAAGAGGCCCTTGCATCCTCACCGCGCATCCTTACACACTATGCGGCTTGACTGTCTTTGCTGTATACAATTCGGCTTGCCTGAGGGGTCCCTACCCGCTTTCTTGAACAGCCGGCGGGGGTTAGGCCTGCGCTCGCTGGCCTTCCTCGGGTTCCCCGGGTGCTTTGGCTGCTGCTTAGTATCTGTTGTTCGCAGGCTGGCCGTTCTCGGTTTCGCCGGGTCCTTTTTGATTTCTTTTGTTTTCGAAGAGGCGTTTATTGGGTTGCCAGGCAATGCAGAAAAGTACCAAGCGATGCCAAGCAACGCCAAGCAATACACAGCAATGACAAACAATTCCAAGTAATGCGAAGGCAGGCAACGCCGAGCAATGCCAAACAATGCCAAGCAATGCCAAGCAAAGCAATGCAAAGAAATGCGAAGCATTACCAAGCAATGCCAAGCAAAGCAAAGCAATCCACATCAATACCAAACAATGCCAAGCAATGCAAAGCAATATCAAACAACACCAAGCAATGCCAGGCAATTTCAAGCAATGCCACGCAATACGAAGCAACGCAAAGCATTGCCAAGCAATGCAAGGCCAAGGAAGCCAATGCAACGCCAAGCAATGCCAAGCAATGCCGCTCAGGAAGCGTTCCCTGATTTGGGTCGCGACGGGTTCATTGAATGACAGGTGAGGCCTGCGCCGGCCAGCGTTCATCTGGACTTGTTTTGTTCCTTACCGTGCGTTCCTCGGGGTTCATGGGTCTTGTTTCCCTACCGTGCATTCCTCGGCCAGCTAAGTCACCGCCAAGTAATGCCAAGCAACGCCAAATAATGCCAGGCAGCGCAAAGCACTGCCAAGCAGAGCCAGGCAATGCCAAGCATTGCCAGGCAACGCCAGGCAACGACAAGCAATGCCAAGCAATGCCGAGCAACGCCAAGCAGCGCGCCCTTGCAACAGGAAGCCTTCTCCAGGGGCCCAGGGGGGGACGCGCAGGGCTCGTTGGTGCTATTCCTACTTACTAGCTTTTGTGAGGAGGAGGCGCCGAGAGGGCCAGGTTTTTTGTTGATTGGCCGCGTGCGGTGCAGGACGCCATGGGCCCCTCCTGAAGATGCGGAACAGGGCAGGCAGCCTCGTGAGAAGACGACAGGCGCTCTCACCAAACCTCCTTCGTTTCCTCATCATCCCCCTCCTCGTCCTCCTCCCCCTCCACTATCTCAGTTCTTTTTCCTCATAAGTAATTCCTCCCTGTCGCACCCCGAAGCGTGTTGGTAGGGCGGGCCTGGCGTTTCGCCTGGGACTTCCTCACCATTTATGATCCTGAAGCTTGAAAGTTGCAGGAGCTTCGCGGATGGAGGACGGCCCGATTTCAAAATATGGTTCTCGCCTTAGCGCCGTGCACATTCGTTTTAAATATTTGCTTTAGAAATTTAACTGGCGGAGGGCGGCCCGCTTTCAACATGTGGCTCTCGCCTCAGCGCCGTGCACATTCGTTTTAACCATTGCACGAGCTTCACGGATGGAGGGCGGCTCTTTTCGAACATGTGGTTCTCGTCTCAGCGCCGCGCACAGTCGTCTTAACAAATTGCAGGAGCTTCGCGGATGGAAGGCGGCTTCTTTTCCAAATGTGGCTCTCGCCATGGCGCCGCGCACATTGTTTTAAGAGTGTTACTTCATATTCCAGGGTTATCATGGCTGACGTCCCGGAAACGGTGTTTTGGCACGATGTCGGATTGTCAGGGCGCAACAGTTATTGATTCGCGGTATTGAAGTCCCACCAGGGATGGTGCTGGCACGGTTCAGGGTCGTCAAAGAGCAGCAGTAAATCCGATCCGCGGCGTTGAAGTCGCAGGAACAGTGTTCTGACACAGTTCTGGGTCTTGAAACGGTTGTCTTCCAACGGGGCATTTCCCGCAGTGAAGATTCTTGGAGGGGCTTATGAAGAGGGAACTTGGAGGGAGGGTTTATTGTAATATCGCTGATGCGTCTTAGGTTGACACTGGTCTCCTTCCTCCTCATCATCATCACCACTGTCATCAGCATCATCATCATCAGCAGCATCATCAGCATCATCATCAGCATAATCATCAGCATCATCATACGCATCATCATACGCGTCATTATTAACACAATCAATACCAACAGCAACGTCACCATCATCCCCCTGCTCCTCCTCCCCCTCCTCTCCTCATCTTCTTTTTTCCTCCACCACCACCCCCTCCTCCGCCTCCTCCCCAACCCCGTCCTCCTCCCCCCCCTCCCTCCCATCCTTCTGGCGCCCGGCCGAGGAAATCGTGAGGGACGAGTGGGGCGACCCCATTTGAGTCGTCGGTGCCACCCCCGACGGGGGCCTTGTCAGAGAGGTAAGCATGATCAGACATGGGGCTGGGAGGCATGATCCGAGCATCCGTAGTATCGCGTATGCTAAATCTACTTCTTACACCGTCGAGCCCTAGATCTTCCCAATCCCTTCTCCCCGACACGATAGTTGACTCTCTTTCTCACTTGCGATTCGGCCCCCACGGTCCACCGCTCCGGCCCGCTCTGTTCGCGCAGGCCGTAGGCGCCTCTGGCGCAGGGAGGCGCCGAGACTGAGTGGACATTCGCCACAAAGATATGTTTACAGACGGCCTCCAATGGACTCTTCCTGGGCCTCAGGGGAGGGCGGCGGCGTATAAATCACCACCGAGAGCCAGCGACTGTCTACACCGCCGCCCTCCCGGAAGGCACCACGCAGAGTGCGTCGGAGGGCGTCTGTGTACATATACGTTCGCGGCGTAGGATGCGGGCGTGCGCAGGCGATGCTGCTCTTCTGAGAGGGAACGTGTGTATCAGTGACACGCCGCCGTCGGGAGCCCGTCGGCGTGGTGCTCCCTCGTCCTTGTGTCCCGGAGACACGGACGGCCCGGCTGCGTGCGTGGACGTTCCCATCGCGTTCGTGCGCGCAGCGTTTCAGGTGGCCCAGTGGCGTCACGCATGCGTCGCCGACCGTTTCATCGTGCCGTGTCCGCTCCCTCTCCTACAGCAAGCAGATGGTTGTCTGGAGACTTGGTGCTTCTCCCCACAGTTCGAGGGTTGCTAAGGATACCCCTGGCCCAAGGGGCCCCCAGCATTTCGCTCCATTTTGGAGCCCCTGGGGCCCTCTGGGCCTCGTAAGGAGTGCTCTGGAGACCGTGGGGGCCTCCTTGGGAAACCTTGGGGCACCTTGGGCCAGGGGCACTTCTAGCAACACCCGAACTGTAGCACGCTGATAGGTCCCTCACGACGGCGCGTCATCGATATTGTTTTCGCTCCCCCAGCACGGCGAGAGACGCGAGCAGGTCTGTTTCATCTGCCTCGCAGGTGGAAGTCCTGCGACCGTGCAGGCAGAGGCCCCTTCCAGTGGTCAGGGCGCATATCGGGGCGGGGTGGCGGTGTATCCTCCTCTGTTTTTCGGGGGGGGGGGGGGCTCCGTAGACACGCTAACGGCGACGTAGGTGACGGCGATGTAGGTTTTGGTATTGTAGGTGGGGTTGGTTCGTGGCCAACCCACTTGCAGGAGAGCGTGGTTCGTGTTTCCCTCAGAATGTGCCGTGCCGTTTTCGTTCGATAGTTTAGCACATTTGAAACGTAGGACATTGTTCATTGTGGTTTCCTACAGTGTTCTGTGCGAGCTCGGCGTCGCGAAAACCAGATTCCCAACATCGCCGTTAACCAACATCGCCGTTAGCGTGGCCTTGGTTGCTAAAGGCGCCCCTGGCCCAAGGTGCCCCCAGCTCTTCGCTCAATGTTTGACCCCCTGGGGCCCCCTGGGCCTCGTGAGGCGTGCTCTGCTCTGGAGGCCGCGTGGGCCTCTTTGGAAATCCTGGGCCACGGGCACGCCTGGCAACACCCGACTCTCTGGTCTTGCCCCGGGGATTCGTGGCCATGCGCCTCAGGACCTGGAAGTCCGCTTTGTCGGCACGGCCGTTGGGCTTCGGCCTGCCATCTGTGGCGGCCCGCGCGCGGCAGCTGACCCGCCGCCCAGGGAGGCCTTAAGTGGCCCTCCCTGGCTGCCTGGCGCCAGACAGACACCGGGGCGGGTGAGGCGGGACCGCGTGAGGAGGGGGAGGACGAGAAGAGAAGCAAGGAGAGAGGTTTGAGGTGGAAGCGACGGGAGGATGGGCAGATGGCAGGAGAAGTCAGGAGACGACAGGAGGAGGCAGGACGAGGCAGGAGGAGGAGGAGAAGGAGGAGGAGGTGGAGCAGGAGGAGGAGAAGTAGAAGGGGAATGGACGAAGGGGGAGGAGGAGGAGGAGGAGGAGGAGGAGGAGGAGGAGGAGGAGGAGGGAGAGAGGGATGAAGGGATGAAGGGGTAGGGGTAGGAGGTAGGAGAAGAAGAATGAGGAGTAGGAGGAGGAGGAGAAGGAGGAGGAGGCGGAGGAGGGGGAGGGGGAAAGGGGAGGGGGAAGGAGGAGGAGAAGGATGATGATGATGATGATGATGATGATGAGGATGAGGAGGAGGAGGAGGAGGAGGAGGAGGAGGAGGAGGAGGAGGAGGAGGGGGCAGAGAGGAGCGGAGGGGGGAACGGAGAAGTGATGAGTAGAAAAAGGGGGGAGGGCGAGGACGTGGGGGGACAAGAAAGGGCAGGGGGAAAAGAGGAGGGCGAGATGGAGTGGGCAGGTCGAAGGTGTATGCGCGCATCTTGGCGAAGCCTCAGTGTAAGAAGCGACAGAGCGTGCGTGCTCCTTTTGGGGGAACAGTTGCATGAGCAGCTGGAATTTTTTTATGCCTCCGAATTCATAATCTTGTGCATAGTATTGCTCAAGCTGCCCGCTCCGCCCTGAACACCCCGAAGTGTTGTGGGAGATAGACCGTGAACCTCATTGCCTAAGTAGCCGCCGACTCGCAGGTTCAAGGGAGATCTCACGGAGGCTGCTGCTCTTCCGATCGCATGTTGTCAGAGTCGGAGTTGAGAAATGGTGAGGTGATGCCTGTCCCCGTTCTGTAATAGTCCTGATGGCAAAGCTGGCGCGCCAAACAAGAAGTTGTCCTGCCAACGGATGTCTCACGATGTTTGCTTACATCCCAGTGGACCTGCAGATCTCTTGGGCACCTTACGAAGCTCACAGTCGACAAAGGATATGCCACTGGATTTCTTATAGACAGATTTCGTATCGTATATGCCTGCTGTATTGGGAGGGAGTTGGTCCTCGCTGCAGACTTGGCCATCTTGAGAGGCACAGGGCGCCATGCACATCACGGCGTTGCCAGACATCTTACGTTACCCAACAGGCCTACAGGCTTATTGCCAGGCAGTTCCTAGCGAATTCTCGAACGTTTGTGTTGGGCCCTGTCAAAGGTAATTGTTTACGCTTCGCGAATCTCCACCAGCCCATTCAGGAGCCTTGCCCATGAGAGTTGACGGGAAAAGGGGCGAAGGGACACATATAGTGAGGAGAGGAAGGAGGGTGTTGAGCCATATCGGAGGCTATCTTGGAGCATTGGAGGCCTTCTTGGAGCTACGGGGCTGTATTGGGGGATTCTGGGGGGGGCCTCTTGGGGCACTTTGGGGCATCTTTGGGGGGTCTAGGGATCCTCTTGGGTCTCTTTTGGAGCGCCTTGGGGCCCTCATGGGGCCCTCTTGGGGCTCTCTTGGGGCTCTCTTGGGGCCCTCTTGGGGGCCATCCCGGAGACTATCGACCAAAGGAGGGGGAGTCCTCGATTTGCCTCCCCCATCCGGGGTCATCGAAATAGCCTATCGGGGCGCTCTTGGGGCCCTCTTGGGGCGATCTTGGGCGCTCTTGGGGCAGTATTGGGGGCCTCTTGGGCCCGTCTTGGAGCTCTCTTGGGCTACCTTAAGGCCATCTTGCGACCTCAAAGCGCACCTGAAGCGAAAAGGCGAGAAGGCAAACATCAGTGATTGTCTTGCGCTTTTTGAAAGGTTGTGGCTTCTCGGGGAGGTCCTGAGGGGTCGCCAGAAACACCTGGAACCGTCTTGTGGCCCTCTTGGGGCCTCTTGGAGGCATGTTGTTAGCTATCTCGACCCATGTTCGGCTATCTTGAGTGGTATTGGAGGCTATATTGGGCTCTCTGAGGCTCTCTTGGAGCCATCTTGGGCGAAAAAGGACCCTCTGACACCTCGCGCCCCCCCCGTCCAGGTCCAGGGTAGGGGGTAGGGGAAGGGGTAAACCCTTCCCCGAAGGGGAAGAAGGGGCTGTGGAAGAGGAAAGAAAGATATCGTTAGACCACCTGTCACCCAGAGGGCTGGTGGGATTTCGTTTGCGGTGCTCTTCGGGCTTTATTGTTCTCATCGAGCAATCTGCATCGGCAACGGGAACAAAACCCCGAGTCCTCTGAACAGCCCCACGTCCAAATCACGCCGAGGCTTAGAGCCTGTGCGGAGCGTATCGCGCATGCATGTATGTCTCGTTATGATGCGTTGCTTGCGCATCCGCGATCGTGGAAGATGCGCAGATCAAAAGATGGTCGCGTGCGTGTGGCGTGCTAAAGAAGAGGAGCATTAGGAATATTATGAGGCGAGGAGGAGGAGGAGGAGGGAGATGCGTAAGGGGAAGGAATTTTCAGTTTCAGTGCATATTGCAAAGCATCATGGCCTTCGGAACGATAATCCATCGTATTTCCCCAGAGCGCTCCGCTCAGGGATTCCCACGTGTGCTCTAAGGGTCTTCTCTGTTTTGCCCTGTTGCTGCGGTTATTTGCCCAGACAGTGCTCCGCTCATTGATTCCCAAGTGTGTTTAACGGTCTGAACTGGTCTGCCCAGGCGGTTATTGGTGGGTAGATTAGCGGGCTCCGCGGATGTTTGCATTAATTTTCAGCGGTGGTCAGTTGGCGATTCGTCTGGTTTGGGCGGTTGCCGCCACCGCGTTCGCCACGAAGTGTTCCACACACGAGGTTCCACACACGGTGTTCCACACAGTGGGTTCCACATACACAGGGTTCCACAAATGTGTTTCCACGCAGATACTTATGGCGCTCCGCACACAAGGGGCTCGCACATGCCGGGTTCCACGCATTGGTTTCTACACGTTGGATACAATACGAAGGGCTCCGCACACATAGGCTTCACCACATAGGGTTCCACATGTGGGGGTTCGCAAGTCGGATGCCACATCTGATCCATGGTTGCCCCTCCCCCTGATGCTACTGGGATCGATCCCCCCCCGCTGGATGGCTACGCCTGTGAGCCTCACGAAGGCCTCGCGAATGAGATCGCTACCCCCCTGCGGTCGCGGGCCTGTGGGCGTGGCGTGGTGGAGGGTGGACGTTCTGCTGCGTTCGCCGAGAGCTTTCCGAGATTCAGGTCGAAGGGCCTGGCGAATTCTTGTGGTCTTGGCCTTG